GAGACAGTGCAGTGACAGGGCATTTGCCTTGCATGCACCAAAAACAGGTTTGATCCCCAGCGTCTACCTAGGGCTGTCTGCCTTCCTGTGTCAGCAAATTCCATTCAATCAGTTTTCCAGATTTTCTTGACAAGACTGCCATTACCTTTCCATTGAGCACTCTTTTCACTTGACAAGGTTTTATTTTTCAAAAGGTCACTGTCCTGTCACTGTCCTCCCGTTGTTCATCGATTTGCTCGAGCGGGCCCAGTAACGTCTCCATTGGAGACTTCGTTGTTACTGTGTTTGGCATATAGAATACATCACAGGTAGTTTGCCAGGCTCTGCCGTGGGGGCGAGATACTCTCGGTAGCTAGCCGGGCTCTCCGAGAGGGGCGGAGGAATCGAACTCGGGTCAGCCATGTTGGCTGCATGCAAGGCAAACACCTTGCCGCTGTGCTATCGCTCCAGCCCTACAGTTGGGATTTGCTCGTGCATTTTCCCCTGCAGCAGCTGGGGCATTTCCCCCCCACCCTCCATTCCACCCTGTGTTCATTGAGCTCTGTGGTTTGGAACCAGTTTAGAAAGCCCTTTGCTAAAGAGCCCCTGAAGGGCATCCTGGCCAGGGACCCCAAATCTTTTGCCTCTGAGACACAACAGTGGGGGTATAAGTTTCCAGTTGGGACTTCCTTGCAGAGCTTGTAGGTGGCTTTGTCAAACAAGATTGAGATTATTGAGTTTGTCTCAAACTTTGCCTTAAAGAACTTCTTTTTACCTTACTTCCACAATTTGTTCACTCGTCTTTTCTTGGCCGATTTTCCAGCTTCTTTTTTTTCCTTGTCGTCCTTGGGAGAAGCACAGCTACCACCAAAACCTTAATGTGTCGCCATTAAGCATTTTTTTTATTAGTGAAACACCATGAGGTACAGTTGTAGATTTACATTTTTTTGTGCTTGGGTTTCGATTATACAATGATCAAATACCCATCCCTCCACCAGTGCCCATTTTCCACCACCATGGATAATATCCCTCCCACCCCCATCCCTCCCATCTCCCCCTGCCTCTGTGGCAGGGCAATCCCTTGTGTTCTCTCTCTCCTTTTGGGTGTTGTGGTCTGCAAAAGAGGCATTGAGTGGCAAACATGTTCAGTCCACAGACTACTTTTGACATGCATCTCCCCTCCTGGGAGGATCCTCCAAACACCCTTTATTTCGTGCTCCCTTCTCTGAGCTGCCCTTTCCCCTAGAATGCCCGGCTGGCCTCTAAGCTATGGAGTAATCCTCCTGGTGCTGATCTCAGCTATTCTTGGGTATTAATCTCATATTTTGTTACTTTATATCCCCCAGATGAATGCAATCTTTCTATGTCTATCCCTCTCTTTCTGACTCATTTCGCTTAGCATGATACTTTCCATGTTGTACCACTTGTATGTAAATTTCATGACTTCATCTTTTCTAACAGCTACATAGTACTCCATTGTGTAGATGTACCAAAGTTTCTTTAACCAGTCATCTGTTCTTGGGCATTCAGGTTTCTTCCAGTTTCTGGCTATTGTAGAGAGTGCTGCAATGAACAAACAAGTGCAGATGTCACTTCGACTACACATTTTTGCCTCTCTGGGATATATTCCTAGGAGTGGTATTGCTGGGTCAAATGGGAGCTCAATTTCTAATTTTTTGAGAATCGTCCATACTGTTTTCCAGAAGGGCTGAACCAGTCGACATTCCCACCAACAGTGAAAAAGTGTTCCTTTCTCGCCACATCCGCGCCAGCATCAGTTGCTTTTGTTCTTTTGAATGTGACCCAGTCTCTGAGGTGTGAGATGGTATCTCATTGTGGTTTTGATCTGCATCTCCCTGATGATTAATGATGTAGAGCATTTTCTCATGTGCTTTTTTGCCATTCAGATTTCTTCTTTGAGAAAGTTTCTGTTCATTTCATTGCCCCATTTTTTGATGGGGTTGGATGTTTTCTTCTTGTGGAGTTCAACCAGTATTTTGTATATCCTGGATATCAACCCCTTGTCAGATGTGTATTCGGCAAATATCCTTTCCCATTCTGTAGACTGTCTTTGTATTTTGGTCACTGTTTCTTTGGAGGTGCAGAAGCTTCTTAGTTTAAGATAGTCCCATTTATCTATCTCTGTTTTCACTTTCTCGGCCAGTGGCGTGGCATCTTTGAAGATACCATTAGCTTCAATGTCATGGAGGGTTTTGCCAACTTTGTCTTCAATGTACCTTATGGTTTCTGGTCTGATGTTGAGGTCTTTAATCCATTTTGATCTTACTTTTGTACATGGTGTTAGGCAGAGTTCTGAGCCCATTTTTTTGCATGTAGCCGTCCAGTGATGCCAGCACAATTTGTTAAAGAGGCTTTCCTTACTCCACTTCACATTACTTGCACCTTTATCAAAGATTAGATGATCATATGATTGAGGGGAGATGTCAGTGTATTCAACCCTGTTCCATTGGTCTGCAGTTCTGCCTTTGTTCCAGTACCATGCTATTTTAATTATTACTTCTTTGTAGTACAGTTTGAAGTTCGGGAGGTTGATTCCTCCCATTTTCTTTTTCCCAAGAATTGCTTTAGCTATTCGTGGGGGCTTATTGTTCCATATAAATTTCAGGAGTGTTTACTCCATTTCTTTGAAGAATGTCATGAGTATCCTTATAGGGATTGCATTGAATTTATACAATGCTTTCGGTAGTATTGCCATTTTGACAATGTTAAGTCTCCCGACCCATGAGCAGGGGATATCTTTCCATTTCCTCGTGTCCTCTTTTACTTCCTGAAGTAGCGTTTTGTAGTTTTCTTTGTACAGGTCCTTTACTTCCTTAGTTAAGCTGATTCCTAGGTACTTGATTTTCTGGGGCACAATTGTGAACGGGATTGTTTTTTTCATGTAGCTTTCTTCTCTCTCACTGTTTGCATATAGCAAAGCCATGGACTTTCGCGTATTGATTTTATAGCCTGCAGCTTTACTATACGAGTCTATTGTTTCTAGGAGTTTTTTGGTGGAGGTTATTGGGTTCTCTAAGTATAGTATCATATCATCTGCGAATAGTGAGAGCTTGATTTCTTCCTTTCCTACCTGAATGCCCTTAATATCTTTTTCTTGCCTAATCGCTATTGCAAGTACTTCCAGGACTATATTGAACAGCAGTGGAGAGAGTGGGCATCCTTGTCTCGTCCTTGATCTTAGAGGGAAGGCTCTCAGTTTTTCCCCATTGAGGATGATGCTTGCTGTAGGCTTGTGGTAGATGGCCGTTAAGCATTTTTTAACTGTCACATTTACTTACACTGGCCTCCCCAGTGCAATGAAGATGCCAAGGAGCAATAGCACAGTGGGTAAGGTGTTTGCCTTGCATGCAGCTGACCCGGGTTCGATTCCTCCGCCCCTCTTGGAGAGACCAACAAGCTACCGAAGAGTATCTTGCCTGCATAGCAAAGCCTGGCAAGCTACCTGTCACATATTCGATCTGCCAAACACAATAACAAGTCTCACAATGGAGACATTACTGGGCCCGCTCCAGCAAATCACAATGGAAGGTCAGTGCTACAGTGCTAAATTTTGTAATGAAACACCGTGAGATACAATTACAGACTTACACATTTTTGTGAATATGTTTCAGTCACACAGTGATCGAGTACCCATCCCTCCACCAGTGCCCATTCTCCACTACCAATGTTCCCAGTATCCCCTCCCTTCACCCCCCCCCCCCATCTCTGTGGCAGGTACAATCCCTTTTACTCTCTTCGTTTGGGTGTTTCCTTGGGTGTTAGTCTCCCATTATGCTGCTTTATATTCCACAAATGAGTGCAGTCATTCTATGATTGTCCCTCTCTGACTCATTTCATTTAACATGGTACTTTCCATGTCGATCCACTTATATGCAACTGTCATGACTTCATCTTTTCTAACAGCTGCATAGTATTCCATTGTGCAGATGTACCAGTTTCTTTAACCAGTTATCTGTATTCTTAAATTTTGAAATTTTCAACAACCAACAAAAAGGTTCATTATATCAAAAGTGGCTAATTTTGAGAAAGTCCAGTGAACAGGGTGTCCATGTAACTGCGACGGGGTAACTCCTTGTTTTCACCTGTTGCTTTTACTCATAAATCTGTCCTAATCTTGATAGTTAATTGTGTGATCACTCTATCAATAGTTGAATAAGCAGATTGACAAATGAAGAAAAATTTAACTGACAGCATTTAGCAGGAAACTTTTTTTTTTTTTTTGCTTTTTGGGTCACACACAGGGGTTACTCCTGGCTCATGCACTCAGAAATTACTCCTGGTAATGCTCGGGGGACCATATAGGATGCTGGGAATTGAACTTGGGTCAGCCGCGTGCAAGGCAAACGCCCCACCCACTGTGCTATTGCTCCAGCCCCTAGCAGGAAAAACTTTTACATGAAAGTTTTCAAATAAGAAAATTCAGCATCTGGTTCTTTTCTCCTGCAGGAATGCTTAAAACTCCTTAGAGACAGCAATAGTGAATTAGAAAGACACATGTTAAATAAACATTTCCCCCCCCCCCCCCCCAATCTTTGTCTTTACAAAGTTATTCATGATTGGGGCTGAAGAGATAGGAAAGCTCCTTATCTGTTTCCTGGGAACTTGATGGTAGAGAAACTTTAAATTACTCACTGAAAATCCAAAATGATGATCAAATGTTCCTAAAATGATAACACAGTCAATGGCTACAGGATTTAAAAAATCCGACTATCGAAAGTAACTTCCCTCAGAATGTGTGTGTGTGTGTGTGTGTGTGTGTGTATGTGTTGTGTGTGTACGCGTGCACGCGCCATGTGCTGGTTATTCTTGCTCCTAGGAAAAGACACAATCTCCTTGCGTTTGATATTATAAATAAAAAATTTATTTAGAGTTTATATTATTGAGTAGAAAGTTTTCAACCACTATTAAACTGAAATTCAGAAATGTGGTCATTTTGTTTGACAATCTCTCCAGCAAAGCCATCTTCAAAAACTGGGCTGATTCCTTGTAAATAGTTTTTTGACATGTTCCACATATGCAGAAGGTCCTGTCCATCTTCTTCCGAAGTACTTACTGGACTGCTGCAGAGCCACAATTTTTGTCCCCTGCTTATTTTTTGGGAGTCTGAGTCTGAAATCTGCACTGGCTTGGTTGAACCTGGGAATTTTTCTGGTACCAGGAGTGCAAATAACCATTGTAGAAATCAGTAGCTGTTAGTCTTTTCCTGAGGATCACTGACTGAACACCGACCCAGCCATCCTAAAGTGCGAAAGACAAACACTGATGAGATGTGGCAAAACCAAGGACATTTCTAATTTATAAAACACTAATCATGAGGGGCTGGGGCAATAGCACGCAGATAGGGCACTTGCCTTGCATGCAGTCAACCCAGGTTCAGTCCCTGTTCCCCCTTTTATCCCCTGAGCCCCGCCAGGAATGATCCCTGAGCACTTGGCCAGGAATAAGCCATGAACATAGCAGGGTGTGCGCCCGCTCCCCCCGTCCCCCCAAAAAAGTAATACATTTATCATGAAAACCAATACACCAACAAATCTTTACTAAATGACTAGTTCCAAACAGCACCATACTATGTAATGGAATATTTTAACTTAAAAAACTTATTTCCAAGAAGTCATTTACAGAAATACAGAGTTGGAGTAAACCTTTTCAATTTAAAGGGAGTGGAACAACAACCAGTGCTTACCAGCTTTCAGTTTGTCCATATACCTTTATTTTGTTTTTTTGGGCCATACCCAGCTGTGCTCAGGGATCACTCCTGGTGGTACACGGGGCACTATGGTATGTTGGGGATTATACTCGAGTTAGCTTCGAGCAAGGAAAGCACCCTCCCCTCTTTACTATCCCGGCTCATGTCCATGCATCTTATTGTGATAGGTCTACTATCATCTCCATTTTAGAAACCTGATACTCAAAGGAAGGTGAGTGATCTGTTGTGACACAATGTGGGGACTCAAACTCACATGTTCCAAGACATCCAGCTGCTTCTTTAACAGCAAACTGAAGACTTGGAATATATACAGACCCAGACAGGGAGAGCAGAACATACACACTGGGGTCAAAGCGATGGCAGAGAGGGGAGGACGCTGCCTTGTATGTGGTCAACCTGGTCTCAATTTCTGGCATCCCAAATGGTTCCCTGAGCACCACAAGGAGTAACACCTGAGTGCAGAGCCAGGTATAATCCCTGAGCACAACGGGTGTGGCCCAAATATCCTCCCTCGACCCCCCAAAAGCACTAAAGATACTCTATCTTCTTTCACAGTTTGAAAATAATAAAAATAATGCCTTGGAAAAAATTATTAGAAATTATAATTAGAAATTTTTGTTTATTTTTGTTTATTTGTTATAATTAGAAATTATAGAAATTTCCACAATTATTAGAAATTATAATTAGAAAATGAAACTTATCATTGGCTCCATTTGATTGGACAGCAGTTGAGTGAAGAAAGGCTTCACCAAAAAATAACAAGCAATACAAAGTATAAACTCAGAAAAATAGGATTTAAAACTTAAAGGGAAAATGTACCTTGCAACCGACCAGGAGTATCTGTGACTTTCTGTGGTATATTATAGACCCTGGAATGACAGCCTGTCCAGTTAACTTTGCATCTAAAGAAGATTGGGGAGAGGATGTAAGAAGAAAGAATATAATTATGCACTCTCACAGGTGATGCTGAAAAATCAAAACCCATCTTGGGAGGCACAGGAGGAGGTAGTGGGGTAGGCATGTCTCTGCACCAACAAGGGTGCATGGCACTGTGTGTGTGAAGCCAAGGGAAAGCTTCCCTTACACTGAAGCTATTGGGACACTGTCACCTCCCCAGAGCTCAGCCTAGAAAGCGGAATATGGATGTTTTGATCCTTTGGGGGAGAAACTAGCTGCCAGGGGTAAGGAGGCTTATTAGGTTCTAGCCTGGCCTTTCCCTCTGTGAACAAGCAAAATTCCTGGCATTCCGGGGAAACTCGTGCTCCTTTTGTCTGATATGGGCCCGCTCAGGGGTTATCCACTATCACCCTCCACACTGGGCGGCCCTGACAGGCCGAGAACTGTGATGTCAGGGAAGGTTTCTCTCGGACTAGTGAGTGCTCAATCTGAGGCCTAAAGGCCCTTTGGGTGCTGCCAGGATGTGTCAAGTACACCATATAAATAGGGGGGCCACAGCACCACAGGAAGGAAATGAGTCAGAAGGGGGGCCATGGCTGGGAAACAAGACTCTTTCATTCTAAAACTTTTCATCATGTTATTTACCAAAATCAACTGAACCAAGTCAGTCTGTATTTTGTAGGTGACTGAAGAGCTTAGAATGGGAGCGAGAGTGTCCTCGGCCTGCTCCCCAGGCTTTTCTGAAGACTAAAAGAGAAAAAACAGCCCAGTGGACAATGAGCAATAAAGTATTGTCATTACTGAACTATATAACAAGCTAAATTCTAACTTTTAGAGAATGTGACCCATGGGAAAATATATTTTCAAAGAGAAGACAGGAAAACTGTCTGTATTCGAGAGTTGGTACCGGTGAGGACTGAACTCTCAACTTCTACCAAATCCAGAAGCTTGACGACGGTATCCATCCAGAGTGTCTGCAACGGAACCTGAAAATAAAGTTAAAGATACGATCAGGAATACACTCGGCCCTAAAAACTCTGTTCATTAATTTGTTCTTGCTTCTCTCTCAATTACAAAGAAACTAGAGATTCCATTTCTGATTTATGACACAGAACATAAATCCGATCCTCCATACCAGCTCCTGGATATGTAAGCATCAATGTGTTAAACACTTTAAAATTAGTCTTTGTGTTTTACTAGTACTTTAAAAATTAATGCTACTTATAACAATGCAACCGTAACAGCAATCACGCTTAACTAATTTAAAAAGTACTCCTTCCTCCTATCCTGAGGTAATCACTTAACACGCACACACAAACACACACACGTGCACACACGCACACCTGACAGTGCTCATGGCTTACTTCTGGCTCTGTGTTCAGGAATCACCCCTGGCAGTGCTCAGGGCACCATATGGGATGCTGAGGCTTGAACCTCAGCATCAGGGTTGGCAACACGCAAGTCAAGCGCACTCCTCACTGTACTGTATCTCTAGCTGTAACAGTTAACGTATTTCTTTTTTTCAAATGTAATGTTGGGGGGCTGGAGTGATAGCACAGCGGATAGGGCGTTTGCCTTGCACGCGGCCAACCCGGGTTTGATTCCCAGCATCCCACTGGTCCCCTGAGCACTCCCAGGAGTAATTCCTGAGTGCAGAGCCAGGAGTAACCCCTGAGCATTGCCAGGTGTGACCCAAAAAGCGAAAATAAATAAATAAAAAATAAAATAAATGTAATGTTGGATTACTGCTATTTACTCAGTCATTGATGAAGCTGATTGAATTGGGCATGAACTCCACATTACTTTTTTATAATTGAATATCTGTGAGACAGACCATTATAAAGCTGTTCATAATTGGTTTTCAGCCATACAATGATCCAGCACCCACCCCTCCACCAGTGTACATTTCCCACCACCAATGTCCCCTGTTACCCTACCACCATCCCCCAACACCCTACCACCCCACCCCCAGCCTCCCTCTATGGGAGGCACTGTCTTTCCTTCTTGCTCTCTCTCTCCTTTTCCTTTTGTGTATTATGGTTTGCAGTACAGGTGCTAAGAGGTCATGGTGTTTGTTCAGAGCATTTGGTATTTTTATTGGGATGGTAAAGCTGGAGTAGATTTTCAATTAGGTGGCCGCTTTGGGGTGCAGATGTGACTGCCAAGGCTCTGGGAAGTACAGGGAGGTGGAGGGAGGTAGCCCATCCTAACCCCAAGAAATCCTGGAGATTTCAGTCACAAAACACGCACACCAGAATTTTCAGCAGATTACATCTTGGTGAGGTCCGCCTTGAGACGGTGGAGTCAGGCCGGTGATTTTGGATTGTGGAAGCAAGTGGCTGCCAGGGGCTCTGCCTGGGCGGGCACTAGGTCAACCTACTTGCCCCCTCTGATTTACCCTGGTCTGATCAGCCACACCTGAGTGCAAGATTAACTGCAGCTTTTGATCTCTTTCGAGACTTATTTATGGGTCTCTGACATAAGGCCAATAAATAAGCTTATATAGCTCAGCCAGAGGTGGTTTGTGGGTGTGGTTCCCACATACCTAACATTTGGCTGTTTAATTTCTTGGTAAACTTGGCCCCAAGTTGTTGGGGTCTAGCCAAAGGCATAGAGGCAATTTTGGGGGTATCAAGAAGCTTAAAGGCATCATCAGGCTGCTGATGCACTCGCCACACAGGTACAGGTTAACTTGTTAGTGGAACCACACCCCTGGAGTTAATGTATTTATCTGTATTTTCCCACAAACTGTTGTCACATAATCTAAAATATGCTGTTTTACAAGGAACTTTCTCTTTTTCTTGGGCTTTTTTGGGTCATACTCGGTGATGCTCAGGGGGTTACTCCTTACTCTGCACTCAGGAATTATTTTTGGCGGTGCTCTGGGGACCACATGGGAAGCCAGGGACCAAACTTGGACTGGGCAAGGCAAATGCCCTACCTGCTGTACTCTTGCTCTGGACCCACAAGAAATTTTTTCACCTAGCCATGGAATATGGAGAAATTATTCTCATCAGTATGTGCTTATCTGTTTCCAATCTTTTCTCTTCTATATAGCAGTCCATTTTTGTGGTTTTGTTTCTGGGCCACACCTGTCAGTGCTCAGGACTTACTTCTGGCTCTATACTCAGGAATGTCTCCTGACAAGGTCAGGGGACAATATGGGATACCAGGGATCGAATCCAGGTTGCCTATGTACAAGGTAAACACCCTAGTTGCCCATTATTGCTTTGTCCCCAGATTTTAATTTTTTATTAGTTTTTTTGTTTTGGACCACACCCGGCAATGCTTGGGGCTTACTCCTGGCTCTGTACTTGGGAATTACTCCTGGAAGTGCTCAGGGGAACAGACAGGATGCCAGGGATTAAACCCAGGTTGGTCATGTACAAGGAAAGTGCCCTATCCACTCTGGAGATACTTGAAACATCAAATATAATCTTTGGAGATTAGTGGTTTTAAGTACTACGTAGGTGAAAGAACATCAATGCTTTTCCCTAAGTGAATGAATGATTAACATCTGCTGACGACTATCAAGGAGGCTAAGGTACTTTCCGCATATTTACAAGCATCTTACTTGTTTCTCTGAAAACTGCTTATGTATTCATTTTACCATTTAAAAAACCAGCAAAGGGCCAGAGTGATAGTAGAGCAGGCAGAGTGTTTGCCTTGTACAGTCAAGCTGGGTTCTATCTCTGGCTTCCCATATGGTCTCCCAAGCACCATCAGGTGTGATTCCTGAATGCAGAGCACCACTGATGTGGCCCCCAAAGAAAACAGAACAAAAAAATGCCACCCCCCAAATAGAAAAAAGTAAAATAAAAAGCAAGGAGCACAGGGTTAAAGCACTTGCCTTGCACGTGGCCAAACCCAGTTCAATTCCCAGCACCATGTGGGCCCAGGAGCATGGCTGGGTGTAGTTCTGAAGATTCCTCAGCACTGCTGGGGTGACTAGGTTATCCTGACACCCTCAGGACCCACACTGACCTGCTGCACAGCTGGCCAAGATTGCAGGGACGGGCTCTGGCCTGCTAGAGCACAACTGGGGGAGTCCCAGGTTATAGCCCCTGAAAATAAAGAGGGCATTTTCTGAATGAGTTTGTTTCAAGATTTGAAAATCAAAAATTAAGTGAACCTGAAATAGCCTTACATGTCTTTTGTTTATATTTTGGGTCCACACCCAGTGATGCTCAGGGTTTACTCCTGGCTCTGTGTTCAGGAATCACTTCTGGCGGGCTTTGGAGACTATACCGAGTGCTGGGGATTGAACCTATGTCAGCTGTGTGCAAGGCAAGCCCCTACCCACTGCATTATTACTCAGGCCCCAAAAAATAGCCTCGCATGTCATACTTTCACGATGTGGTGACTCTTCATTCTGCTCCCAACAAAATTATGAAAACATTTTCAGATGTGTAACTTCTTTTCTTTTAAAGACTTCAACATCCTTAAACACCACGCATACTGACAGAATTAGACATTTACTGAATCACAGAGGCGGACAGACAGCTCTCATCCTGAGGTCAAGCTCCTTTCACCGCATGACCAGAACACGGCAAAGGAAGGAGCCTAACGACAGCCAGTGCCTCGACTGTCATGTCCGCAGACATCTGGGATGCTCAGGGACCGCACCAGGTCAGGAACGAGCTAGACAAGCATCGGAAACATTGTAGTACCTCCTGTCCCATGTCTGCAGACATTTTAACTCCATTTATCTCCTTTTACCTTGACACTTGCAAACATATCATGCCAGAGGTTATAAGAAGCCAATGCTCCTGGGTTAGTTAAATGTTAGTTTGAGGAATCAAATCTCACTTTCTGGGGTCCACATGGTTATTCAAAGGGTTTGGCATGCTTGAGGCCTGGGTTCAAGTCCCAGCACCACGTGGCTTCCCAAGCACCACTGAGAGCAACACCCAGGTACCAAGAGGGAGTGAATCCCCCAGAAAAAATCCAATCTGTCCTCTGCTTCCATGTCCACATTCTGTTTGAGCATAAGCTTTTGCTTGTAGAGAGGCAGTGAGTCACGGATGAGAACAGCATCTGGACAGGGAGAGCTTCTGAAGGACCTGTCTGTTTCCCAGAGTTGGTACTGCATGTATCCACACCAATCAGGGCACCCAATTTCTCCACATCCTCCACAAGTTACTGTGACTGGCATTCTGGCCAGTCTGCAGGGATGGAACAGTGTCTCAGTGTAGTGTTAATTTCCAGTTCCCTAATGATTGAGGAGTTGGTCATATGTTCCTAAGTTTGTAGGTTGTTTACTTATGTGTTATCTTGTGAGGAATGCTTATTCAGAGCCTTTGTTCATTTCCTAGTCCGGTTATTGGCTGCACTGCTACAGTCTTAAGAATTCTTCATACTTTCATCATGAAAGTTGCTTATACATGATAGACAAGGAGTGTATCATGCTGAGTGAAATGAGTCAGAGAAGAGGGACAGAATGATTGCACTCACTTGTAGGACATGAAAGAAGAACACAGTATGAGAATAAAACCCAAAGACAGTAGAGACAAGGGCCAGGAGAACTTGTCCATGTTAGGAAGCTGCCACAGAGCGGTTAAAGGGGAGCGCAGTTAGGACAGAGAAAGGACCACCATGACAATGATAGTTGGAAATGATCACTCTGGACAAGGGCTGAGGATTGTAAGTCACTAAAGTGAGACATAATAACCTTTCAGTAACATAGTGCAAACCACAGTGCCTTCAACCGAGGGGGAGGGAAGGAGGAAAAATGTTTGCCATAGAGGCCGACTTGAGGCTAGCTGGGAAGAAAACTTGGGACACTGGTGGTGAGAAACGTGCACTGGTGAAGGGACAGGTGTTAGAACATCGTATGACTGAAAACCAATCATGAATAACTTTGCAACTGTGTAAAAAGAATTCTTTATATTTTCTAGACACCCCCCTCTCGGAGAGCCCGGCAAGCTACCGAGAGTATTCGATATGCCAGACACAGTAACAACAAAGTCTCCAATGGAGACGTTACTGGGCCCGCTGGAGCAAATCGACGATCAATGGGAGGGCCTTTACCTTTACCTTTACCTTCTAGACACTAAGCCCTTAACAGATATGTAATTTATAAATACCTTTACCCCATGATTGAGGCTGTTTTTCCATTTCCTTTTTTTGTTTTTAGAGTTAATAAACAGCAAAGAAGATCTAAGTAAATAAAAGATCTCTGTGCCCATGAATTGAAAGGCAGTATTATTAATAAATATGCAAATATTCTCTAAATTAATCTGTAGATTAAATATTGTTCTTTCAGTTGACTTCCTTGCAGACACTGATCAGCTGATCAAAAATTCATATGGAATCCCCAGAGACCAGAAAACCTTTAAGAATAAAATTGGGAGGGTTCATACTTCCTGAGTTGAAAAGGCAGATTTAGGGAATGGAGATACAATCTAGAGTCAATCCCTGGCACCACGTATAGTCCCCTAAACCTGTCTAGGAGTGATCCCTGAACACTGAGGCAGGAATAAACCCTGAGCATCAACTGTTTGGCCGAAAAAACAAACAAAAAACGATAAGGGGCCAGAAAGATAGTACAGTGGGTAGAGCACTCGCCTTGCACACAACTGAACCCTGGTTTGATTCCCAGCACTCCATACAGTTCTAAGACCTGTCAGGTGAGAGCACTGAGCAGTGCTAGGTGTGGCCCTAAAACCAAAATAATAAAGAGTAAAACTCAATAGGGGCTGAGGGTGATAGTACAGTGGGTAGGGTGTTTGCCTTGGCAGCTGACCCAGGAATGACCTGTGGCATCCCATACAGTCCCCAGAGCACTGCCAGAAGTAATTCTGAAGTGTAGAGCCCCAAGTCACCCCTGAGCATTCCCAGCTGTGGCTTCCAAACAAACAAACAAACAAACAAACAAACAGAGTAAAGCCCAGTAAATATTTCAAGAACTGAGAAACTGACCTCCGATGTTTTATCAAGCTATTCTAACTCTATAGACTGTGAGAACTGAAGAATTCAACTGTGGAAAATAACCACAAGGGGCTGAAAGGATAGTACAGTGGGTAGGATCCCTGCGTTATACAGTCAATCCTGATTTGATCCCTAACACTACATATGGTTCCAGGACTGCTACTAGAAGTAACCTCTGAGCACAGAGCCAGGAGCAACCCCTCAGCAGCCACAGGTGTGCCTCTCCCCCCACCCCCTCGCACAAACCAACCAAACAAAATAATTATGAACAGAAAAATCTGCTATGAAAAAACTGGCGTAAAAAGTTTAGTTCCATCACTCAGTAACTAGGCATTCCAAAGCCACCCCTTCGTTTTCATTCCTCTTATCTATGAAATAGGATAATAAAACTTGGTTACGGGAAACTAGAAAATATGTATTTAATGTACTCTGTGATTTTGAAGAGCCTTCTACAAACAGTTTAATATTTAAAAAGTGAATTTTAGGGGCCGGAGCAACAGTACAGCAGGAAGGGCATTGCCTTGCAAGTGGCAGACCTGGGTTTGATCCGCAGCATCTCATATGGTCCCGAGTACTGCCAGAAGTAATTTCTCAGTGCAAAGCCAGTGTGGCCAAAAAACAAAAAGTGAGTTTCAGATAGACAAAATAATCCAAAACAAAAACTCATACAGTTATGTGTATACTAATGCTCACAGAAGAACTATTCACAATTGCCCAAAGATGCAAACAACACAAATATCCATCAACACATTAACAAAAACTGGGGCTGAAGAAATAGTACAGCAGGTAAGGCACTTGCCTTGTATGTGGCCACCCTGGATTCAGTCCCCAGCATCCCATATGGTCCCCTGAGCACAGCCAGCACTGATTACTGAGAGCAGAGGCAGGACAAACAACTGAGCACTGCCTGGTATGGCCCAAAACCCAAAAACAATAACCAAAAAAAAACCACCCACCAAGATTAACAAAAAAAAATTGTGGTACTCTATACAATGGAGTATTATTTCATTTATTTAGTTTTGGCTTTTCTGGTCACATCCAGCAATGCTCAGGGGCTATTTCTGGCTCTGTACTCAAGAATTACTCATAGTGGTGCTCGGGCAACCATATGGGATGCTGGGGATCAAACCTGGATTGGCCGCATACAAGGCAACCATCCTTCCCAATAGGGTATTAATAAGGCTTAAAAGGAACGACATTCTGATATAGTGAACTCAGTCATTATGCTGAGTGATGAGCTTGTGTGATTGCTTGCATGTGCGGTACCTAGAAGTAGCAGATTCCTAGAGACAGGAAGTAGACGAGAGGTTACCATGGTGGGGGGGATGGAGTTGCTAAAAGGTGATGGGGTGGGGGACAAATGGTCAATATGTTATGCACTTTACCAAATACATTTTTGTTCTCACACTCCACAGAGTTTGTAGGCTGCTCCCAGTTGTGCTCAGGGGATCATGTGGACCAGGGATTAAACATGTATTTTCTATCTGCAAAGCATATACTCAGCCACTAAGCCAGCTCTGTTGCCCCTCCTAAATTTTTAACTTTTAAAAAATACAATGAGAGATAGTACAGCAGGTACAGCGTCCTGAGTTCAATTCCTGAAACCCTATAAGGTCCCCTGAGCACTCCATGAGTGCAGAGCTAGAAATAAGTCCTTAGCATGGCCGAGTGTGGCACCACAAACCAAAAATAAACAAATACAATGACTTTTAATTTTTGCATTCTTAGGCTCAGTGTACGAAAGATTCATCCTCAGCAAAGTATTTCTAAAATGAATCAGACACTTAAACACAGAAACAGATAAACTGCAAACTAACTTTCAACTTACTATACTTCCGATGGCACGGTAAAGTCTGAGTATTTGTTCTGAAGTTTGTTCTTCCCATTTTACACAGCCAATACCAGCAGATATTTTAGGGGCTATAAGATAAACACAACACAGGAAGGACTATCAGCCTCACTGTTCACAAACTGATTGTTATGAATGCCACATGACAGGTACAGGAGAACTCATTCTATTATTGCCAACTTTCGTGAATGTTGAAAAATTTCCCTACTATAAATACGAAACACATACATATAAAAGAGATGGGTGAATTTCTTTGTAACCCAGTAGACTTGCAGACAGAAACAATTCCATAAAAGCAAAACAAATAAAAAACAGAAGCATTTACGAATTTATATCACATATATTTATACAGCTATGTTTTAATAATATCCATTTATACATAATTGGATATCAGATCTACACGTGTAATTATTTCGATTATACTTAGGATTTTTTTCTACTATAGTTTTTTTGTTTTGTTTTGTGGCCACACCCGGCCACTGGTGCTTAGGGCTGACTCCTAGCTCTGCCTTCAGGGATCACTCCTGGCAGGTTAGGGGAACTATACTGGGTATTGGGGATTGAACCTGGATCAGCCACAAAGCAAGCACTCTATCCGCTGGTCCCATAGATTTATATCTACTATATAAACTAAAAATTACAAAGAGTGAAAAAACCTGACAGAAAAATGGGCAGAAGATACAACAAACTTTTCTCACAAAAGTAAAACACATAAGGTCCTTAAATATATGGAAAGACCCTCAAAATCCCTGAAGTGGTGATGGAAACAAAAACTACTCCAAGACAAAAATTATTTAATCTCGAGATCAAAAGGTGATAAATGCACAAACTTCCAGGGCTGTGGCTCAGTGGCAGAGCAACTGCAAGCACAAAACCCCGGGTTCAATCCCTAGGACCAAAGAAAAATCAATAAAACATCAATTTATTTACAGTGGCATGTGTGAAAGCAAAAGACGGGAAACAACCCAAACATTTGCTAATAGAGATCTGGTGAATAAATTATGACATAACCAAACTGGCAAACTTTTTTTTTTTTTTTGCTTTTTGGGTCACACCCGGCAAAGCACAGGGGTTACTCCTGGCTCATGCACTCAGGAATTACTCCTGGTGGTGCTCAGGGGACCATGTGGGATGCTGGGAATCGAACCTGGGTTGGCCGCGTGCAGGGCAAATGCCCTACCCACTGTGCTGTCGTTCCAACCCCTGTAAAACTATTATTAAGAAAAGAACAGGAAATTTGTTATTAATAATGTTCTGAGAATGGGAAAACGACTCAAAAGGCCAGAACACATTCTGCACAGGGGAAGTTGGGGTTCAATCCCTCACACCACATGACAAGCACTGCTGGGTGTACCTTAAGAAACCAAAAATAAATAAAAAAAGGGAAACAAATGAACTCAAACTAATAAAAAGTTAACTATAGAAAGGAGGGAAACAGGATTGCAGAATACTGAATAGAAATAAAATTTCTCAGAATATAATATATTTTCCAAATAATTCTAACTTTAGGAGCCGGAGCAATAGCAGAGAGAGTAGGGTGTTGACCCTGCACGTGGTCAATCCTGGTTCAATCCCCAGAATCCTATATGGTCCTCTGAGCACTGCCAAGAGTGATTTCTGAGTGCAGAAGCAAGCCCTTGGCATTGTTGAGTATGGCGCCAAAACAAACAAAGAGTTCTAACTTTTTGGTCATATAAATATTCCATAAAATAAGGTTTAGTCAGAAGGGTGATACAAACAACTCTGAAGATCAAAACCAAACAGAGACAACAACCCTAGTTATACATCAAACTAGACAACAAAATCACTGGGAAAAAATAATCACCCCTAGTAAGTGTTGAACATTCGTACTCTAAGCCCTGAGCAGGAAAAACTGCAAGGACAAAGGAAAAAAAATTTTTTTGACTGCAAAAAATATCTTAAATATTATTCTGTAGCTTTACCGTTTGCAAGAAATACTGGTATAACTTTGATATTATTATGCAAAGAAAATTATTTAAAAAAATTTTTTAAAGTATTAATTTAACCAAAAATAATCAGTGTAGGAGAAAATTAAGAAAACTATAATTAGAAGCAGAGGGCTAGAGAGATAGCACAGAGGTTAAGGCTTGCAGGTGGCTGACAAACGTCTGATCTTCCGAACCGTCGAGGAGTGATCTCTGAGCACAGAGCCAGGAGTAAGCCCTGAGCACAACTGGGTGTGGCCCCAAAAATTAAAAATAAAAAATAAAATTAGAAATACCAAGAGCTCAAACTTTTAAGTCTAATACACAGGCGCACGCACACACATATATAATGTCTTGCCTTATCGACTTAGGCATCTTAGAACATGCTGTTGTAGTGGACAGCTTCTAGATACCACCCCTAACAATGAACCACGGGATATAGCAAATTCCCATGGGAATAAGGTGAACTTCGAACAACTTGTGGTAGGAAGCAAGGAAATCAGCCACTCAACACTGGCTGATGTGGGCGGGAGGAGTGTCAAAAGATGCCAACACCAACTTCAAGTTTCATAGTTTTCAGGTGCGAGGTATCAAACCCAGGGCCTTGCACATGTAAAGAATGTGCCCTTCCCACTCTCCCCTGCCCTCCCAACCCAGAAGCCAATTTGGACGGGCTCCCACCCACTAAACACATGAAGAATTATGAATATAATTAGGTATAAAAAAACAACAAACGATCATTTCATGAATCCAGTGCAATCAAAAGATTCTGCTATCATAACTGAAGGATCTGAACATTGATCAGTGGGAAATAAGAATCAAGCATTTATACTGCCATATGAGTATTATTATTACTATTATTCTTGGTTTGTGGGATACAGGCGAGGGAACCTTGGTCAGCAAACAGGAGCAACTTGACTCAGGGTTAAACAGATGTTCACTATTTCACTCTCCATCAACTGATCTCTGTGTGAGGGCTGCCGGCTTACAGTCGGGGATTGAACACAGGCCTCAAGCATCCACTTACCACTCAGCATAGGGCTGGTCTGTTTTGGGTATTCTTCAAAATAAAAGTAAGGAAAACTTTTCTGTATTTTCTGAGGGAAAGGGAGGCCCCACCAGCAATCCTGAAAGACATACAAGTTGATGCTAAGCCCGGGCCCCCTCACTCACCATGGGTGGCGCCCTCCGTGGGCTGAGGCTTCCCGCTTTTCACACTTTCAGGTAGATTCTTCAAAACTGAAATCAGCTTTAAAAAAAGGAGAAGGGAGAGTGAGAGTAAGCAAGATGAAAACAGAAAATATGCTACCATTAGCACTATGGAACTGCCTCTAGTCTGAGAGAGTTGTCGGCCCAGAGAGGAAGCAAATGGCTTTAAAAAGCGCAAGCTTCCCAAACCCGGTCCTCCACCTACTCCCCCGGCAGCAGTGGGCATCAGAGCCCCAGAAAGAGTCCCTGCTCTAGGTTCAAATCCCAGCACCACCAACTTCTCTGTAGAAGTGTTTGTGCTTTGCTTTTGCTAGTCTGCATCCTTCAACATCACCGTACAAAGAGCTGACAGCAAGATACCTCACAGGCTGGTTGGGAATACGTAAAATAACCAAAATCAGGGCTGGAGAGATAGCACAGTGATGAAGGGCTTGCTGTGCACGTGGCCAACCTGGGTTTGATCCCCGGAATTCCGTATGTCTCCTGAGTGCCGCCAGGAGTGACTCCCGAGTGTAGAGCAGGGAGTAATTTCTAGACAGTGCTGGGTGTGGCCCCCAAACAAACAAAAAGCCCTCAAATCAGCCTAGAGAATCTGGAACAGTTCTGGAATACAAGCCCGCACTTCAGTAAATCAGTATCTAGGAATAGAGAACACCAGCTCTATTCCTGTCAAGGAAAGGTTTTCCTCTGTAGAAAGAAAATGAGCAGTTCTGAGGACAGACACCCGAAAGTTCCCTTACCACGCAGGTAAGCAGAACAGGGCAAGTGGATGCAATGCCTGGAACCCAGCAAGGGAACTGGAGCCAAGTGACTCCAGGGACCTGCAGCTGATTCAGCCTGGACAGGCCCCAAGACACAGTGCAGCCTGAGGGTGAGCCAAAAGCCTACACTGCGGGGGCCTTCTTTTGAACAGAATACCCAGCTTCTTTTAAAAAGCCTTTACTAACAGTTGCTCTGGGTAAATTCCTGAAGGTCTACCCAAGATTACAAAACTCAACCTACAATAAAAGGTAAAGGCCCTCCCGTTGATCGTCGATTTGCTCGAGCGGGCCCAGTAACGTCTCCATTGGAGACTTTGTTGTTACTGTGTCTGGCATATCGAATACTCTCGGTAGCTTGCCGGGCTCTCCGAGAGGGGCGGAGGAATCGAACTCGGGTCGGCCATGTTGGCCGCTTATAAGGCGAACGCCCTACCCGTTGTGCTATCGTTCCAACCTACAATACCTGTCACAAAATGTTCTTTTCATCATACCCCCTAGGACACTCCCGGGATGCATGGAAAACTGTGAGCTTTGGAGAACTGTACCATGCTGGCGCCCAGTCTTGACAACGCAGTTTCCAGTTCCTTTGCAGTGACCTTCGGTGGCACAGGAACTGTTTCCTGTTTGAGAATTGGGCCTATATCAAACCTACCAAAAAAGTAAGAGCAAACAATGTGACTATGATTTCTTATTTTTGGAGGGCCACTCCCGGCTCTGTGCTCAGGGATTACTCCTGGTGTGGGCACATGAGTGGTACTAGGGTTTGAATCCAAGGCCTTATGCTTGCCACACAGCACTTTAAACCACTGCATCTGTGGGGCTCCTGGTACTTAGATTTTTAATATGTTTGTTTCCTAAAGACATCCTATATGGTCCCCTGAGCACTGCCAGGAATGATCCCTGAGCGCAGAGCCAGGAGAAAGTCCTGAGCATTGCCCAAGACAAACCAAAAAAAATTGTTTTCCTTTTTCAAAGGACGATTTTGTAGTCATTGGTGATAGATACATGTAGATTAGTGCTCCCCATGTCTTATATTTACAACCAGTTTGACAGGTGCTGGTCACCAGCTCTAAGTGGAAAATAAACTCTTAACTTAAGAACCCGGCAAGCTACTGAGAGTATCTCGCCCGCACGGCAAAGCCTGGCAAGCTCCCTGTGACGTATTCGATATGCCAAACACAGTAACAAGTCTCATGATGGAGATGTTACTGGGTGGTCCCGCTCGAGCAAATCAATGAACAACGGGAGGACAGTGCTACAGTGCAGTGCTAACATAAAAGTTTAATTTTGTGGCTCTATAAATTCTATTTTCAACTGTCACTGTCACTGTCCTCCTGTTCATCGATTTGCTTGAGTGGGCCCAGTAACGTCTCCATTGTGAGACTTGTTACTGTGTTTGGCATATCGAATACATCACAGGGAGCTTGCCAGGCCTTGCTGTGCAGGCAAGATACTCTCGGTAGCTTGCTGGGCTCTCCGAGAGGGGCAGGCGCTCCGAGAGGGGTGGAGGAATTGAACATGGCTCAACCAGGCCAGCAGTGCACAAGGCAAACATCCTACTGCTGTGTTATCATTCCAGCCCTAAAATAAAATTTCTGTATTTGATATTTAGTAGGGCTGGAGCAATAGCACAGCGGGGAGGGCGTTTGCCTTGCAGGCAGCCGACCCAGATTTGATTCCTCCGCCCCTCTCGAAGAGCCCACTCGAGCAAATGGATGAACAACGGGAGGACAGTGTTTGTTTGGACAGTGTTTGTCTTAGACTCTTTAGTATGATTCCAAAAAATTAAATGTTTAAGACAATTAAGGACAATCTAGGACAGATTATGCTCAGAGATCATTCCTGGTGGGCTTGGGAGACCATAATTGATGCTGGGGATTGAACCTTGGTCAGCTGCATACAAGGCAAACGCACTACCTGTGTATTATTGATCCAGTCCCGCCGGTTACAGAAATAAACATAAAAATCAAGGCAAAAAAAAAAAAAAAAAGATTCTTAACTACTATTATCCAAACATCCATCACTCATGTACTCAATGCCTGTTATAGGAAATTCAGTCGCTAGCAATAAAATACCAATCAACAAGACAAAAATTTTACAAGAGGGCTGGAGAGATGGTAAAGGGCTAGGGCACTTGCCTTGCATGTAGCAAATGAGGATTCATTGTTGGCACCACATAGAGTCCTCCTAGCACTGCCAGGAGCAGAGACCTGGAGCAGAGCACTAGACGCTAATAGGAGTACCACCAGGCGGTCCAAAATACCCAATCCAAACCAAAACCAAACAAGAAACACCAGTGGTTTATGTCAGGGAGCAGGAAAAAAGGGCCTAAAACCATAGGAAGTACTCAGAGTCCTTGCAATCAGTGAGCACCATCAAGTCAGCTATTTCTCCCCCCCCCAAATTGTGTTATCACATTAAAAATATCCCCCACTCCCCACCCACACACGTTTGCTCTACCTTTTAGGTCTGATTTGCATAATGGTCACTCCAGTGACTGTGTCTCCGTGAAGCACAGTGTGGATGATGGGAGCTGGACCACGCCACCTCGGGAGGCAACTGGGATGGACGTTGAGGACACCACTGGATCAGAAAGGCAAAGACGATGGTTGAGGAGGCTGCCCAGTTACAGAGAGGCTGTGTTCCTCACTGAACTACATGGCTAAATAGCTATGTTCCTCACTGAACTACATGGCTACAGGGCTATGCTCCTCACTGAACTTTCCCAGAAATTTTGGGAGAGCAACATCTGATATCTAATCTCAGGTTTAGTCCCTTACCATAAGGAGAACAATGTAACAAGTGAAAGAAAATACAGTAAGAACAATTCTTTTCCTTCCAGAGATTCCACAACTACTACTGAGCACTGAGAATTTTTAAACAAAATTTGAAAAGCATTTTTGCTACATGAGAACCCTATTGTGCATCTCAAGGAAATGAAAATATTTTAAGTTATTCACAAAATCATCCTCTCACTGTACTTAGTTTGCATATAAAATGCCTAAAACAAGCATCTCAAAGCCTCAACGAATGATCAATTCTCCTTTGCTATTTATTCTAATGTGCCTATGAGCAATTAAGAGTGTTGAGAGAATTTAATAATGTGGTTAGAGGATTTAATAATCAGTAATCATTAGCTGAATGATGCCTCCATGGGTATACACTGGAGAAAGTGCATGTATGAGTCATACAGACGTGCTGGCATTTCTCTTAGTGCTAGATACATGAGAACTGTCCAAGTAAAAATACTTGGACAGAAAAATAAACTCTGCCCTCAGAGTGGGAGATGAGTAATAGAACACAAAACACAGAAACTCTGTTGGACGGTGCTTGGACCCATGGAAAACAGCAGAACAGTGGATCTGAGTGCGGGATTACACTTTTAACAGTAGTCAGAGATAAGTGGTCAGTGGGAAGAAGACTCATGAGGGGAACTTGAGCAAAGACACAAGTAGATAAAGGAATCAATCAGACAGGAGAAAAGCTTCCAGACAGAGGAACAAAAAGAACAAAGGTACTGAAGGAGGAGGAGGCTCTGCACAGGTCAGGTTCAAGGCTTGAGGTGGGGGGGTGGGCAGTTGGGCCACGGTGAGGCTGGGTGACAGGACAGGGAGAGGAGGCCAGAAAGCGGGGAGGAGACCAAACTTCATCAGCCAAAATAACAACTTCAAGTTTCATCCTGAGCAAGACAGAAATTGCAAGAGAATTTTGTAAGTAAAGTAAAGTAAAGGCCCTCCCGTTGATCATCGATTTGCAGTAACGTCTCCATTGGAGACTTTGTTGTTACTGTGTCTGGCATATCGAATACGTCACGGGGAGCTTGCCAGGCTCTGCCGTGCGGGCGAGATACTCTTGGTAGCTTGCTGGGCTCTCCAAGAGGGACGCAGGAATCAAACTCGGGTCGGCCATGTTGGCTGCGTGCAAGGCAAACGCCCTACCGCTGTGCTAGCAGAGCAATATGATCCAGCTTAAACTCTGAAAGGTTCACTCTGGCTTCTGTGTAAAACGTCTGGTCTTGGGGGCTGCTGAGCTAGTACAGCAGGTAAATGCACTTGATTGGTTCGATTATCAGCACCACATATGGTCCCCCAAGCCCCTCAAGGGGACTGAGTGCAGAGCCAGGAGTCAGCCCTGAGCACAGCCAGGTGTGGCCAACTCCCAGACCCCACCCCCTGCAAAAGAAAAACAAGAAAATTCTGGCTTTTGAAACTAAGTGCTTAGGTGAGAAATAAAGCTGGCACCACCACCAGGCGAGAGGCCACAGACCTGGAGGTGTGATGAGCAAAGGAAACAAACGAGGACTCCAGGGTCTGAGATCCCCTAGTGCGATGCTGAGATGTTCTGAGATGCAGACTTGGGGAGCCCAGAGTAGGCTGAAAGTTCAGGGGTGCAGTTCCAAACATCTTTAAACGTCTTGTGGCTGATGAGGCCTCCTTGAGGCATGGAAGATGCCAGGGCTATCAGGGGCCTGGAGTTTGGCGTTGAGACCTGAACTGGAAGGACCCACCTGGGAGTCATGGCATATCCAGGGAACTTATATGATGATAGCGCCAAAGCACTCACTTCCCCAGACCTCCAGCCAACGCTTTCAGGGAGAGAGGAAGCACTCCAGAGTTGACGTGAGTGCGCCTCTGACATGTTTCACTCAGGACCAAGGATTCAACGCTGCCTATCCTCATAAATAACTTTCCTTATGAAAAACTTACTAGGGAAATTTAAGAATAAGATCCTCACTCAAAAGCCGGCCAAACGAAGCCACCACACCCACGTCATAGTCTCCAGAGCCCACTTCCGGCCACTCGTGAACCAAAAGCTGAGACTGTTCAGCAAACTGCTTGACTGGCAGTCCCCTCGCGGACAGGCTGGGCACCGTCACCACCTCCAGCCTTTCGATTAACTCCTCTGCTTTGTTTTCCCTAAACACAAAGTTAGAAGAAAAAAAAGGGGGTTAAGGTTAGTCTATGGCTCAAAACTAAAGACTTCTTCATACTCAAGAAGCATTTAAGATTGTTAAATGAGGGCTGGGCCAATGGTGCAGTGGGGAGGATGCATACCTTGCACAGGTCCTGATTTGGGTTTGGTTCCCAGCACCTCATATGGTCCCCTGAGCCCCATCAGGAATGATCCCTAAGTGCAAAGCCAGGAGTAAAAAGCTAAAAAAGCCCTGAGTACCTCCAGATATGCCCCCCTACCCCAGCACCCCAAACAGTAAATGACAAGGATAGTGGAAAGTCCCAAGCAACATTGGGTGTGGTTCAAAAAAGTACTATTACTACTACCAAAGTCAGTGGGACCAAAACAGTATTTTTAAATTATTTTGAATGTAAAATTACAAAAGTTAACAACTGGCTATGGTTTGGTCAGAATGTTTTTTTCCTTTTATTTATTCCTGGCTCTGCACTAAGAAAATCTCTCATATGGGATGCAGGGGATCAAACCTGGTCCGCTGTATGCAAGGCAAATGCCCTACCTGCTGTATTATCACTCCAGCCCCAGAATATTTTCTTTCTGTTTATTTGTTTTTGGGTCACACCCAGTTATGCTCAGTCTTTCTTCTGGCTCTACACTCAAGGATCACTCTGATAAGTACAAGGGACCATATGGGGTGCTAGAATCAAAACAGGTCAGCTGCATACAAGGCAAATGCACAATCCATCGTACTATGACTCTGGCCTCCAGAATATTGGGCGTGTGTGTGTGTGTGTGTGTGTGTTGGCAGGGAAGGCGGGGGTTCTGCACTCAGGAATCACTCCTGGTGGGCTCAGGAGACCATATGAGATGCCAGGGATTGAACTCAGGTTGCCCACACGCAAGGCAAGTAGCCTATTCGCTGCACTACTCTTTGGACCCCAGAATTTTTTTAAATATAAAAAATAGTTATTTTTGAGTCTCCTGATAGTTCTAGGGGAGAATTCTGTGCTAGGGCTAATCTTAGGGGTGCTCAAGGACACTACATATCTATACACTGCTCCACATTTTTTGGTTTCTCTTAATAATGCTATATATGTGAACCCTTTAAAAAATAACTGAATTAAATATATACATGCACAGAACTATACTAAAAAAATATAAAACTGGAAACACAGTTGTTTCTGAAGATTCTGGGAACTTAGTACCAAGTGCACTGTACAGTCCTTTTTTTGGGGTTTTGGGCTATACCTGGTGATACGCAGGGATTACTCCTAGCTCTACACTCAGGAATCACTACTACTGGCAGTACTTTGGGGACCATATGATGCCAGGGATTGAACCCTGGTCACTCATCTGCAGGGCAAGAGCTCTACCTGCTGTACTATCTCTCCAATCCCTCTTTTATTCTCTGTAAAGTCGCTGAATCTTGAATTTTGTACCAGAACCATGTTATCTTCATAAAACAAATCCCTTACAAAGCTGTAGGAGCCACGGCTAGGGAGATAGCACAGAGATTAACTCGATTGGCCCGATTCATCTCTAAGTTCTGCCAGAAGCTATCCCTGAGCATTACTGCTGTGTCCAAATACTTCTCCCCAATTAAAAAATAAAAGTCAGGTACAAATATCTCCTAAGGGCATAACCCCATGGCAGTGCACTACAAACTGCGCGGCCCAGCGCCCCCTCGCGGCTCATCTGTTAGCATGTTTGCATGTGAGAGATGAAGGAGGTGAGAAGAGGGACGCAGTTTGTGCAGGGCACGTGTGCAGAGTGTTTGCAGCGGGAGTTCAGCGGGATCTCATACAGCACTGACCATGGAGTCCCAAAACAAGAGAGGCTGCCAAAGTATCTGCGGAGAACACTTGAGGGAGATGACTGTAAACCGTGTGCTGTGTGTCAGGGGTGGGAAATGATCACCGTTGTGGGTAAATAAAAAACTGACACTGGGGGACAAGAGAACAGTGTACAGAAGGGCGTGAAGCCACCGCCCAACTATGAACAATCAGAACAAGTTAGATCTCAAATACCTTTTTCCCCAACGAACAAGATTTACTTGCCCACACGCAAGGCAAGTAGCCTATTCGCTGTACTATAAGAGTCCTGAGAGTGATACCGATTAATAAATGAATTCCTTTGCAAACAGTTTGTTTCCGGGCTGTGCCTTCATTTTAGCCAGAACATGCTGCACCAGGGATGCGAGTCAGTGAGACGCGGGTGTGCAGAGGGTTGGGGGCGACCGGCCGGGAGGCCCGAAGCCTGGAGGGTGCAAATGGGAGGCCCGGGAGCGGGGAGAGGAAGCGGAGAGGAGCTAAGGGCCGAGCCCCTTTGAGCCCCAAGCCGGCCGGCTGACAACCTTGGGCGGCGGGGGGCCGGGACGAAGGTTATGCGTGCGGAGCGGCGCAGAGGCGGGGCGCCGGCGGCGTGTGCACCCGGCAGAGGCTGCGCGGTGTAGACCGCGCCGGACCCGAGCCGCTTCCCGCAGCACAGTTGCTCTCCCCGCCCGGGGCTCGGACATCGGCGGCCCCAGAATCCGGCTCCCCGCGCCCGGCCCGGTACCTGGCGGCGTGCAGCGCCCGCAGCGTCTCGCGGGCAAACTGGTCTGTGCCGAAGAAAAGCACTCGCCAGGGCGGCTTCTCGCGCACTCGGGCGGCCCGGCCGTCCTTCCCGCCAGCAGCGCACAGCGCCCGCCATGGGGAACCGGGGCTGCACCCCGCGCCCGCGTCGCCCGCCGCTAGCCCGCGTCCCCAGCAGCACCGAACCAGCACCCTCATCACCTCCGCGGCGGGGCACACTGCGCAGGCGCGGCCGTGCACCGCGCTCCTGATAGGCCGAAGAGGCGGAACTCGCTGGGCGGGGCCTACCCGAGGGAGGCGGGCCCTCTGGGGGCGGTGTCTTTGGGGGCGGGGCCTGTTTAATTGGAGGCGGGGCCATCTGGGTTTTTTTTTTTTGTTAGCTTGTTCTCTCCTTTTTTAAAGAACTGTGATTTACAGAGTTATTGATGGTTACATTTTAGGCATATATTTCAATACCACCAGTGTCAACTTCCCTCCACCACGGTTCCCATATTCCCTCCCAAGCCCACTCCACTGCCCACACTGCCTGTCAACTTTTTGGTTTTCAACTTTGTGCCTTTTTTTTTTATTGGATCACCCTGAGATACAGTTACAACCTTTCATGATTATGTTTCAATCTTACAATGATTGAGCACTCATCCCTCTACTAGTGCACATTTTCCACCAACATTGTTCCCAGTCACCCCCACCCCATCCCACCCTATGTCTCTGTGTCTGCCTGTCAACTTGTTTCAAAGTGGTTGCAGCTTCGGACTCACGTTTTCAGTGTTGTTGAATCTGTGTTTTGAGTATGTGGCTGTACCACTCACGCATATCACCAGTGTCACTGAAGCCCTGGTGCCTGTTCACCCAATATTTCCCAGTCCTCTTCCATACACACCTCCCCCCCCCATTTCTTTCTCTTTCTCTCTCTTTCTTTCTTCCTTTCTTTTTCTTTCTATTGAATCATTGTGAAGAACAGAGTTACTAAACTGTTCAGGATATCAGTCACAGTGTTCCACCAGTGTACATTTCCTACCACCAATGTCCCCAGTTTCCTTCCCTCCCACCATTCCTCATCTCCTGTCTATGGCAGACACTTTCCTTCTCTCTCTCTCTCTCTCTCTCTCTCTCTCTCTCTGCATTATGGTTTGAAGTATAAATACAGAAAGGTTATCATGTTTGTTCCTTTACCTGTTTTCAGCATGCAGTTCTAATCCACAGTGATCATATCCAACTATCTTTGTCATAGTGGTCCCTTCTCTATCCCAACTGTCTTTTCCCCTAGCAGTGTTACAACCACGGACCAATCTACTTGGCCCTTGTTTACACTGTCCTTGGGTATTAGTCTCATATTATTATTATTTTTTTTTGCTTTTTGTGTCACACCTGGCGATGCTCAGGGGTTACTCCTGGCTCATAAACTCAGGAATTGCTCCTGGCGGTGCTCAGGGGACCATATGGGGTGCTAGGATTCGAACCTGTGTCAGCCATGTTGGCTGCGTGCAAGGCAAACGCCCTACCCGCTGTGCTGCCCTACTCCAGCCCCCCTCATATGATTTTTAAAATTTTATTTATTTATTTAGGCTTTTTTCTGGTCACACTCAGCAATGCTCAGGGGTTACTTCTGGCTCTGCACTCAGGAATTACCCCTGGTAGTGCTCAGGGGAACATCTGGGATGCTGGGAATCAAACCTGGGTCTGCCACATGCAAGGCAAACGCCCTACCTGCTGTGCTATCACTCTAGCCCCATATGATGTTTTTTTATATCCTACAAATGAGTCCAATCATTTTTTGTCTATCCCTTTCCTTCTGACTCATTTCACTCAACATGATACTCTCCAGGTCCATCAATTTCTAAGTGAATTTTAAAACTTCATTTTTTCCTAACAGCTGCATAATATTCCATTTTGTAGATGTACCATCGTTTCTTTAACAAGTTATCTGCTTGGGGGCGCTTAGGTTGTTTCCAGATTCTGGCTGTTGTGCACAGTGCTGCAATGAACATGGAAGTACAGATAGCATTTCTGCTGTGTGTTTTTGGGTCCCCAGGGTACATTTCCAGAAATGGTATTGCTGGGTCATATGGAAACTCAATTTATATCTTTTTGAGGAATATTAATATTGTTTTACAAAAAGACTGGACCAGTCAGCATTCTCACCAACAATGAAGGAGAATCCCTTTCTTCCTGCATCCATGCCAGCATTGGTAGCTCTTGTTCTTTTTGATGTGTGCCTGTTTCTGTGGTGTGAGATTGTTCTTTTGATTTGCATCTCCCTAATGATTAGCAATTTTAACAGCTATGCGCTCACTGCTGTGCCATAGCATTGATCACTTGATCACTTGACTTCCCGTTAATCGGCGATTTGCTCGAGCGGGCGCCAGTAACGTCTCCATTTGTCCCTGTCATGTGCTAGTGTAGCCCAATGGCGTCTGTTCACTCTAGGAACATGAAGAGCCTCAAACCGATCGTTCATGATCTTGATGAAGAAGTCTGACCATCTGATAGGTGGGTGGCCACACGGTCTTTTGACATCCCGTGGAATCCAGTCGGTAACAGCTCTAGTCCAGTGGTCGTCTTTAAATCTCATTATGTGACCAGCCCATCTGATTTTTGACACCTTGGCAAACGAGACAGCGTCCCTGATTCTTGATCATCGACAGATGTCGGAACTCCGGATTCTTTCTCTCATTTGAGTGAAACGTGATATTCCAAGCATAGCTCTTTCAATTCCTCTTTGGGAGACCCGAATAGCGTTCTCATCCTGTTTGCGTAGGGCCCAGGTCTCTGAGGCGTATGTTAATGCAGGAAGAACAGTGGAATCAAAGAGATGTGCCCGGAGCGGGAGGTTCTTCGTCCTCTTAGCTATTTCTTCGACGCTCTTGAAGGCGTTCCAAGCCACTCTCTTCCTCCTGCGCAGCTCGGGTGCCAGGTCATTTGTCATGTTGACTTCTCAGCCTAGGTACACATAGCTGTTGCATTCGGAGATGGTTGTTCCGTTGAGAGCAAATGGGGCGTCAGGAACGAGGCTATTTCTCATAAACATTGTCTTCGTAAGATTCAGCTGTAGTCCAACCTTTCCACACTCACGGTCGAAGTCGTCCAGCATTTGTGCCGCTTGGCTGATGTTTGGTGTTATTAAAACAATGTCATCAGCAAAGCGGAGGTGGTGTAGTTGCCAACCATCTATCTTCACTCCCATTCCTTCCCATTCCAGTCATCGCATGATGTTCTCGAGGGTGGCACTGAAGAGTTTCGGTGAAATGGTATCACCCTGCCGAACCCCTCTCTTGACATCAATGATTACTTCTTTGCAGAATGGTGGGATCCTGGTAGTGAATCCGTAATACAGCTCACGGAGGATCTTGATGTATTGAGCTTGAATGCCCTGATTGTCTAGGGCTTCAATGACCGCTTCTGTCTCAATAGAATCAAAGGCCTTCTTTAAATCAATGAACATTAGACAGAGCGGCATCTTGAACTCCCGAGAAACCTCAATGAGCTTGGTTATCGTGTGGATATGGTCGATGGTGCTGAATCCTTTGTGGAACCCGCCTTGCTCGCATGGTTGTCCTTCATCTAGTGTTCTGCCAATCCTATTTAGGATGACTCGAGTGAACAACTTGTAGATGACAGACAATAGGCAGATCAGGCGATAGTTGCCAATGTCATGGATGTCTCCCTTCTTGAACAGTAGTACGGTCCTGCTGGTTTTCCATTGGGACGGAACCTTGCATTCAGACAGGTAGCGTGTGAAGAGCCGAGCCAGTGTATTGATGAGTACTGATGGCAGGTTCTTCAGGTGTTCAGGTCTGACCTTGTCTGGGCTGGATGCTGTTTCTTTACTGATGAAATGGTGTGTCAGATTTCAGAAGGGAGAACATTGGGAATGACATATCCATCCTGTGGAATTTGGTATGTCGGCAAGTGGACATGGATATCGAAGAGATTTGAGTAGAAGTCATGGATAATCTTCTCCATTGCCGTTCTGGAGGATGTGATGGATCCATCAGGACGTCGGAGGGCAGTCATCTTGGTCTTGTAGTTGGCGAAGGACAGGCGGGCGTTACGAATACTTTTCCCGGCTTCTGCCGCATCTACCAGCACTTCTGCTCTTCTCTCTTTGAAGTCTTCCTTGATCGCATCTCTGCACTGCTTTGCGAGCTCCGACGTTAGCTTGCGGTTGCCTGAGGCATGCGCCAAACCACGCTGGTGAATTAGCTCAAGAGTTTTCGAAGACAGGCGTATTTTTTTTTTTTTTGTGGCTATCTCTCTCTCGGCGTCCCTCGCACAATCATGGAGGTGCTGAACCAGTCGATCGTATTCCTCATCAATGTTGTCAACAATGGCATCTTCCCATGTTGCCACAATAGTGCCAAAGAGCTCCCAGTTGGTGGTCGTTCTGGGAGTTCTCTTTTTGAACTTTGCAGCCCTTTCTCTCCGCTCTGTGAAGTAGAATTTTGCACGAAGGAGACGGTGGTCATAGCATTAACTCCTGTCAACCATATAAGGTAGGTATTATCGTAATTTTTATGAAAAAAAGAATCCAAGATTCACTGAAGTTAATTGTCTAAGACCCTCCATGTAATTCCAAAGTGTGTGATTCTCACCATTTACCATCCACAGCAATCCTATCTACTAGGAAAGTACTGAAATGCACACGTCCCCAATTGAATTGGGAAAAACAGGCTGCTACTTGCTCATTCACTCTGGTGAATTAAAGTCCCACTCTCGTCCCTAGCCTGCCGATTTTGTCCCCCACAAAGGGATACCGTAGAGGGGTTTCTTAGGGCAGGGAAGCTGTCTCAGAAGGCCTACAAGACTCTTTAAATGCAGATCTATGTTTTACAGGCTTTCTCCTGTGGAAGAATGAGAAGATATCCTACAGATTAAATGGAGGATAGGACAGATGGGGTATAGTTAGCCCTTTGGGTTTGAGCCTCATAAAGGAGAGTGTTCTTGGTGCTGGAAAAATTGTTCAGTGGTAGTGGGGAGGGCATCCCCAGCAGCCTATATAGTACCTCAAGCCTGCCTGAACACAGACCCAGGAGTCAGCCCTGAACATCGCTGGGTATCGGCCAAAATAACAACACAAAATAGGAGAGTGTCCAGAGACCCGGGAAAGATACAGGAAAACAATCTAAACTTTGGTTGGTAAGGTGATCACTGCCTGAGTCCACAAGAATATGTGATCTGGGAGGGAATGTCGCATGTGACAGGG